GAGATAACGATATTTATGCCAAGAACAATATTGGGGGAATTGTATGACAAAGTACAAAATGTTTACTTGTGACGTGTTTCATAACTTCAGGCCTTCATCGGACTAAATTTTTTATGCGCATGCTCGAACGAGGGGTGCTGTGGATTTTAGATTTTTTTTTTTTTTTACATCAAGACGTATTTATTTAGAATCTTTTCCTTTCTTTTCCCATCCCTTTTGTTAGTAGGTATCAATTATCATAGTGTGGGATACCTACTAACAAATGTGATGGAAAGAAAAGAAAAAAAAAAGACTCCAAACGTATTCGGTTAGATATAAAAAAAAAAAATTTCTAAAATCCACAGCACCCCTCGTTCGAGCGCATATGCAGTTGTACCAACAAATTTAGTCCGATGAAGTCCCTGAAAAGGCGAAACGCATCCCAAGTAAACTTTTTTACACTTCATATATATATATATATATATATATATATATATATATATATATATATATATATATATATATGTATGTCTGCGTGTGTGTGTGTGTGTGTCTGTGTATACAGACGAATAGTCACATATTTATTCACACGCACAAGGTCAGCCCCTGATGGCCTGCAGATGGTCCGAAGCCATCAACCTAAAAATTATTACTTGGCCTCATTTCTTTTCTTTATTTTAGATTGTGCAAAACGGTTGACTACGTCGCAGATTTGTGTCTCTGATAAATGTATAGCTTCTCATGATTTCTTAGCAGAGCGGGGCGGACTATGGACCCGGTTAAAAAAAAATAGTATTTCTCACCAGGACATTTTTTGAATAGGGCCGCAGTTCGGATTCTAGGTCATAGGCTACAGTTAATATCTAAATCCAAACGGGTGGGGTAAAGTCCTTAACATTTTTGTGCTTATTTTTTTCTTTCTCTCTGTCTCTCTCTGTCTCTCTCTGTCTGTCTCTCTCTTTGCCTACTCCCTCTCATTTCATTTTTTTTTTCTTTATTCTTACCCACTTATTTTCTTTTCTTTCTATTTTATTATATTTTTCGTGCTTTTATCTTCATGTTTATTGCGCTTAAACTTATGTGGGAAAAATTCGTTTATTTTTTAATGATTCCTTCTCTCGTTCATATTCGACTTTTTTTAATCCCTCCTCTTCTTCTTCCTCCTCCTCCTTCTCCTTCTCCTCCTCCTCCTCCTTTTCTTTTCCTCTCTCTCCCTTCCTCTCTCTCTCTCCCTCTCATTCTGCTTTTTTAATCCCTCCTTTCTTCATTCTCCTTCTCTTTCCATCTCTCTCTCTCTTTTTAATCACTCCTCTTCCTCCACTTCCTCCTCTTTCCTCCTCTCTCTCTCTCTCTCTCTCTCTCTCTCTCTCTCTCTCTCTCGGCTTTTTTAATCACTCCTCTTCCTTTACTTCCTCCTCTTCCCCCTCTCTCTCGGCTTTTTTAATCACTCTTCTTCTTCTTCTTCTTCTTCTTCTTCTTCTTCTTCTTCTTCTTCTTCTTCTCCTCCTCCTCCTTTCTTTTCTTCTTTCTCCCTTTCTCTCTCTCTCTCTTTTTTAATCCCTCCTTTCTTCATTCTCCTTCTCTTTCCATCTCTCTCTCTCTCTCGTCTTTTTTAATCACTCCTCTTCCTCCACTTCCTCCTCTTTCCTCCTCTCTCTCTCTCTCTCTCTCTCTCGGCTTTTTTAATCATTCCTCTTCCTCTACTTCCTCCTCTTCCCCCTCTCTCTCTCGGCTTTTTTAATCACTCCTCTTCTTCTTCTTCTTCTCCCTCCTCCTCCTCCTTTCTTTTCCTCTTTCCTTTTTTCCTTCATTCTCCTTCTCTTTTCATCTCTCTATCTCTCTTTCGTCTTTTTTTAATCACTCCTCTTCCTCCACTTCCTCCTCTTTCCCCCCTCTCTCTCTCTCGGCTTTTTTAATCCCTCCTCTTCATCCTCCTCTTCCTCTTTCCCTCTCTCTCTTTTTTCTCTCTCTCTTGCTTTTACACACGCACACTCACACTCACAAACACATATGTAGATATTCTCTCTCTCTCACACACACACACACACACGCACACACGTGCACGACTACATTCTGTCTGTCTCTCTCAGACGCACTCTGTTTTTCTCTATTATTTCATACACTTTCTTTCTCTCTCCTCTCTCTCTCTTTCTTGCTCACGCAAAAACACACACATACACATAGATTTTCTCGCTCTTTCTCTGTCACATACACACTTTCTTTCCTTCTCTAACGTTCTCTTTATCACGCTTTTATCTCAATTTCACACACACATTTTATCACTCCAGATCACACTTCGACGTGGTGTAATGGTTAACGAGCTTATCTTGCGAGAATATGAATTACGACTGAATAGTGAGTTCGATCCTTACTGGATGGCTCTATGTTTTCCGCCTTCTGCGAGATCAAGTTCCCTGTGTGCACCTCGACATGGTGTAATGGTTAACGAGCTTGATTCGCAAGATCATTTACGACTGAATCGTAAGTTCGACCCTCACTGGGTTCCCCGTACTTTTAGCCCATGTGCCACATCTACGCTTGGAAAACCGCCATCACCACCAATACCACCACCACCACCACACTCCCATTCTCTCGCTTTCTCTCCCTCCCTCTTTCTCATACACATGCTTTCTTTCTTTCTTTCTTTCTTTCCCTCCCTCTTTCTCATACACATGCTTTCTTTCTTTCTTTCTTTCTTTCTTTCTTTCTCATACACATGCTTTCTTTCTTTCTTTCTTTCTTTCTTTCTTTCTTTCCCTCCCTCTTTCTCATACACATGCTTTCTTTCTTTCTTTCTTTCTTTCTTTCTTTCCCTCCCTCTTTCTCATGCACATGCTTTCTTTCTTTCTTTCTTTCTTTCTTTCTTTCTTTCTTTCTTTCCCTCCCTCTTTCTCATACACATGCTTTCTTTCTTTCTTTCTCATACATGCTTTCTTTCTTTCTTTCTTTCTTTCTTTTCTTTCTTTCTTTCTTTCTTTCTTTCTTTCTTTCTCATACACATGCTTTCTTTCTTTCTTTCTTTCTTTCTTTCCCTCCTTCTTTCTCACACATGCTTTCTTTTCTTTCTTTCTTTCTTTTTTTTTCCTCCTCTTTCTCATACACTTTCTTTCTTTCTTTCTTTCTTTCTTTCTTTCTCATACACATGCTTTTCTTTCTTTCTTTCTTTCTTTCCCTCCCTGTTTCTCATGCACATGCTTTCTTTCTTTCTTTCTTTCTTTCTTTCTTTCTTTCTTTCCCTCCCTCTTTCTCATACACATGCTTTCTTTCTTTCTTTCTTTCTTTCTTTCTTTCTTTCTTTCTCATACACATGCTTTCTTTCTTTCTTTCTTTCTTTCCCTCCTCTTTCTCCTTACATGCTTTCTTTTCTTTTTTCTTTCTTTTCCCCCCTCTTTCTCTACACTTGCTTTTCTTTCTTTTCTTTCTTTCTTTTTTTTCCTCCTCTTTCTCATACATGCTTTCTTTCTTTCTTTCTTTCTTTCCCTCCCTCTTTCTCATGCACTTTCTTTCTTTCTTTCTTTCTTACTTTCTTTCTTTCTTTCTTTCTTTCTTTCTTTCTTTTCTTTTCCTCCTTTTCATACACATGCTTTCTTTCTTTCTTTCTCATACACATGCTTTCTTTCTTTCTTTCTTTCTTTCTTTCTCATACACATGCTTTCTTTCTTTCTTCCTTTCTTTCTTTCTTTCTTTCTTTCTTTCTTTCTTTCTTTTCCCTCTCTCTTTCTCATACATGCTTTCTTTCTTTCTTTCTTTTCTTTCTTTCTTTCTTTCCCTCCCTCTTTCTCATACACATGCTTTCTTTCTTTCTCTCCCTCCCTCTTTTTCCTCATACATGCTTTCTTTCTTTCTTTCTTTCTTTCCCTCCCTCTTTCTCATGCACATGCTTTCTTTCTTTCTTTCTTTCTTTCTTTCTTTCTTTCTTTTCTTTCCCTCCCTCTTTCTCATACATACTTTCTTTCTTTTCTTTCTCATACACATGCTTTCTTTCTTTCTTTTCTTTCTTTTCTTTTCTCATACACATGCTTTCTTTCTTTCTTTCTTTCTTTCTTTCTTTCTTTCTTTCTTTCCTCTCTCTCTTCTCATACACATGCTTTCTTTCTTTCTTTCTTTTCTTTCTTTCTTTCTTTCCCTCTTTCTTTCTTACACATGCTTTTCTTTCTTTCTTTCTCTCCTCCCTCTTTCTCCTTACACATGCTTTCTTTTCTTTCTTTCTCTCCCCCCCTTTCTCGTACATTTTTCTTTCTTTCTTTCTTTCTTTTTTCTTTCCCTCCTTCTTTCTCCTTACATGCTTTCTTTCTTTCTTTCTTTTCTTTCTTTTTTCCCTCCTCTTTCTCATACACATGCTTTCTTTCTTTCTTTCTTTCTTTCTTTCCCTCCCTCTTTCTCATACACATGCTTTCTTTCTTTCTTTCTTTCTTTCTTTCTTTCTTTCATTCTCATACACATGCTTTCTTTCTTTCTTTCTTTCTTTCTTTCTTTCCCTCCCTCTTTCTCATACACATGCTTTCTTTCTTTCTTTCTTTCTTTCTTTCCCTCCCTCGTAAATTCATATTTTCTCCGGTTCACACACGCTTTCAGTCATTCTTTCATGCTTAAGGCGAAATCACGTTGAAACACAGCTTCCCGTAAGATAACTAAAGTTAAGCAACATCTAGCCCCGTCAGTAACTAGATGGGTGTCCGTTTGCAAATACCAGGCGCTGTAAGCTTGAATGTGAGGCTAGTTTAATGGTTAATGGTTCGAAATTGTTTTTCGGAGAGCCGAGTTCAAAATCATGTTGCGTTCTTTATATTCACTTACGCGCAAATAGCCTTGGGAAAGGCATGAATCCACCTCTTCTCCTCTAAACCCCCACCCCCACCCCGGCCGGGTATCGGTTAATTAGTAAAACTTAGATCACTAAATCATGATTATCCCCCCACCAACCCTACAAAATGTAAAACTATTTCCTGGCTTTAAATAACCTGCTAAGGGTTGATAAGCCGTCAAAAACGAATCAATCTTTCTTTGACACATAGACATTT